GATATGGAAGCAACCTAAATGTCCATCAATAGAGGAATGGATAAAGAAGATGTGGTATATACAGTTGACCTATGAACAACATGGCTTTGAACTGCGTGGGTCCACTTACATGCGGATTTTTTTTCAATAAATAACCACTATAGTCCTACATGATGCGTGGCTGGTTGAATCTGTGGATTCACCTATGGATGAATTGTGGATACAGAGGTTATATTGAGGTGGGAAGCCCCATAAAAAAAGACCAGCAGGATCCCCAGGCAGGGCCACTACACTCCTGCCAGCACCATCCATTTCCCTGGCCCAGTGGCTCTATCTCACTTTTTGCCTCTGAAACAGCTTACTTCTAGGAAAGTGGAACTTACCCCTAAAATTCTATTTGTTCCCTGAGCTCACTCCTGATTGGTTATTTCCTTCATTCCTGATTGGTCCATTTCCCTAACTTCTGATTGGTCCATTTGTAGTACTTCATTTGCATGGAGCTTACTCCTGATTGGTTATTTCTCTCCCCCCGGATTGGTCCTAATTAGACAACTATTGTTTTATCTTATTTGCATATGATGTTGCAAAGTGTAAACTGGCAGCCTATTAAAAGCCTGTGTAAACCTACAGATGGGGTCCAGAGCTTGGAGTGTTAACTCCTCTGGGCCCGCCGGCATAATAAACCTGAGTTCTCCAACTCTCTGAGTGCTGCTTGGTCTCTCACCCGGATCCAGGTTGCTGTCACAACTGAGCTGTAACACCAAGCCATAACACTGAGCTGTACCACTGAGCTGTCACACATTTTTCTGCAATAATATAGTTATACATGAGTCTTCAACTGTACTCAGGGTTGGTGCCCCTAACCCCCGGATGTTCAAGGGTCAACTGTACATTCAAAGGTATACTACTCAGTCATAGAAAGAATGAAATCTTGCCATGTGCAACAACATAGTCGGACCTGGAGGGTATCACTTTTAGTGAAATAAATCAGATAAAGATAAGACTATGTTATTTATCACTTATGTGGGGAACCTAAAAAATAAAACAAACAAATGAATATAACAAAACAGAAACAGACTAACAGATAAAGAGAACATACTAGTGGTTACCAGTGCGGAGAGAAAGAGGGGAGTGGCAAGTTGGGGGAGGGAATTAAGAAATACAAACTATTATGTATAAAATAAATAGGCTACATGGATATATTGTACAGCACAGGGAATGTAACCAATATTTTATAATAAATTTAAATGGAGTATAATTTGTAAAAATATCAAATCACTATGTTGGACACCTGAAACTAATACAATAATGCAAACCAACTATACTTTGATTATATGCATATATATGTACATATACACATGTGTATGCAGCAGCCCTTGGAGATGGATAAAGAAGAATCAGGGAGGAAGGACAGTAGAAAAAGTAAGACGCAGTTTTAGGGTGATTTTAGAGTTTAGGAAAGAGAGACAGTTGGACCCCTGGGTAGCTCAAAAGAGCAGAGAGCACCCACTTCCCACGAAGCAGGGGTTGCACCCACAACCTTCTGAACCAGATGCTGGACTGGTAACTGGTCAGCCCTGTCTCAGTCAGAGAGACCCAGGGGTCTCTCAGCCCTCAATAGCCCCCTGATTCATACGAAGCCAGAAACTGGGCAGCAGCCTCGTGGGCACTGAGCTCCAATTTCCTGGCTTAGCCTTCGGGGGCGCAGAGATTCCTGGGCCATCCAG